TTTTTGGCATGTTTGCAGCTCTCTTTTTTTACTTTGAAGCGTCATCTTTAGTTACCTTGCAAGCAAGATGAATTATCGTGAGATTTGTGAATTCCCGAAAATACAACTTGGCAGGAGCCAGCAGAAGGCTTAGCCTCGATACAGAAATGTTTTGGACCAGTGAAATGCAGTATGGCATCAATCAGAGATGGAAGGCTGAAGCAAAACAAACATGCATGTGCTCTCATTAGCTGGATCACCCTCTATTTCTTTTTGAAAAACGATCAAAGAGACATGATTTACAAGTGAACTCCTCTAGACATAAACAAAAAAAGCTGCTACTGCTGCTGCGATTGGCTAAGAACTCAACATTGGAGGCAGATACCCAATAAGCTTGTAGAATTGTACTTATTGTCCCTCCCCTTTGCAAACACTTTCAATGTGTGGCTTTCCGGTTGAATACATTTAGTTAAGTTTCAGACTGGCTTATGCCAGTTTACAGCTTTGGGCCTCCACATCTGGAAGAGGCACACTATGAGGGTTTCCCACATTATACTGTAGGCTACAAACTAGCACAGTGCAACGTTTCCTTCTGTGGGGTGTACAGCATGACACCAGCACCATTAGCTTGACCTATCCTATGGTGCTTAAGTGAAGGGAACTTGCATAGCTATGCAGCCCTTTGTATCATATCTATTGCTCTGTCTGAGGCTCAGGCAGTGAAGGAAGCAGCAGGTGTTCAGTGGGTAGCTTTGATCAAATAGAGATAATCATTCAAAGCAAATGTAAATATCTCCCATATTTCTATCAGTAGAAATGGCACCAGGCAGTCTCAGAAACAAGGTCATCAGATTCAGCGAATCACAAAAACAAAACTTATCTAGAAGCAAGGCATCACAAACAGCCCCCTACTAGAAGTCTGTTTCTGACATCACTATTCAGCATTATAAAGGAATCATGTAATAAACCAAACTGTCATGCCACTATATATGTTAGGCACATATGAGATGCACATGTATTTAATGGAGCACCTTGCTATCACAATTTACAGACAGTGCCTTTATATAAGTCAGAATCTCCATTCCAATGTGGAAATAGGCTTAGGGCTGGGAACTGCAATTCAGTTTTTACTTCAACAGGCCTGTAGGGAACTTTCTTGTCTGACAGCATATGCCAACACAAACCGCTGGCAGTGCACTAAAAAAGGGATGACTGTGACATAGCTGACCTGTCAGCCAGCTCCCTCTGATGTGCTCCTATTGGAGAAATGTAATTGTAGTGGAATACTTGAACTGGATCCTCCAGGGAACCGTCTGAAATGCAGATGCTAGATACCTATGGACATATGCCACCGTCTCCGCCTTTTTCACCTTATTACAATACAATGATCCTACACAGCTATGTTTTCCAATGAGAGTTAAAGAGCCTCTTAGATTACTTATATTTACATCCACACATTGCAAACACATAACTTTTACATCCAATTGAACTTAAACCATAAACTTCAAACAATAAAAAAATAATAAAATAAAAAACATTGGGTTTGATATTCCTTTAGGTGAAAACAATTGAAATAAGTCATATTTCAATCCATTTGGTGAGACATTAATACTAGTTATTGTGAATTGCAATAGTGTGTGTTGCTGCCTTTCATTTTCACTGGAGGTTAAAAGTTTACATGTATTTGTGTGAAGCTAGATCTAAAATACATACAGATATTCTTGCACAAATATTTTTTTTTCCTTTTTATGCATCATCCAGAGTTGTGCATGACACATTGCACAGCAAGGATTGGTAAATTAGGTTGTGCTTGATGTCAACTGATTAACACCTGAATTAAAAGATGTCAGGAGTACAGAGGGAGGGAAAAACCTAACAAAAAAGTCAGATAGTAAGTACTGAAGACCAGCATTGAAGCCCCTGCAGTGGATTATAGTCAGGGTGGAGATCATTGATCAACTCTTTTTATCTTCTGTTTATTTAGAATACAATTTACTCAATAAAAGCTGGATAGTCTAATTACTCTTTTTCACGATTTATGAGATTGTTGAAAACAAGGCAAATATTTTTTGCAATCTAAAGACACAGAAGTCACAAGTAACTTTATTCTTTTAGTGAAACAAATAAAATAAACTTTTATTCTTTTCAAATAAATATCTATATGCTTTTGTCTAATATTATTAAAGTGCATCCCCTAAAAGCAGAGGTGTCAAGTAACTGAGTACAAATACTTCGTTATTGCACTTAAGTACACTTTTTAGGTATCTATTCCTTACTTTATTTTTCTTCCAACTTCTGACTTCTACTAATTACATTTTCACACAGGTATCTGTACTTTCTATTCCTTACATTTTTAAAACAAACACTCGTCGGTTAGCTATTCGTCAAATATGTGCTGACGCCAAAGGAGATCATCAGAAGCAAGCAGGTGCTCTTCATACTGCAAATGCGAATTGTCTATGCCATAGGTCTTCAACAGGGGGTCTGCCAACCCCTAGGGGTCCACGGAGGTACTGCATGGGCTTGCGAAAATTTTGGTTGTTTGACTTTTTTTATATTCCCCCCTGCAATTTTTCCACCAATTGAATTGTATTTAAACACACATTAAAATGAACAGATAAATGGAGGCTAAAGATGTCTTTCAGTCATCAATGCACACATTCAGCGACACACAGGAGCTCTTTCTAACTGGACACCGTTTCATTCACAACACCTGTCCCATCAACCAGGAATAAGAATCAGAAGTACTTTAATAATCCCAGGACAAAATTACTTTTGTTACATTACTCCATCTGTAATAGAGTGACAATAGGACCAGTTTGATATACCGGTAACACATTTTCATCAATATATATAATTAGGGGGTCCCCGCTACTTCTCGCCATCAGTTTGGGGGTCCTTGGCCTGGAAAACTTTGAAGACCCCTATCTCAAAGAATAGGGCCAAGGATGCCAATTTCAAAATAGTCGAAAAATTGCACTTTGAATTCATATAGTGGCATCTGGCTGTTTTTTTAAAGGTTACTTTATACTTTTAAGTAGTTTTTTGAAGCACATACATTTTCACTTTTACTTGAGTAAAGAGGTCAAAGAGGTCAACTTTTACAAAATTTTACCAGATATTGTACCAGACTGTAGTATCTTTACTTCTACTTAAGTACTTTTGGCACCACTGCCTAAAAGGGGCCCTAGGATCCCTGGTTTCCGTCGACGGAACTCAGCTCAGCTTGTAGTCGCTCTCCCCCCGCCTCCCCGGCTGAAAGATGCTGCGGAGCTTGATATTTTAGTAAAGGCTCCACCTTCTTCCCTTATTGACCAATCGCATATTTCTTTAGCATTTTTTCAACCAATCAAAACACTCGACGTCACTTTTATAACATTTTAAGCTTCGCCCCTTACCTGGTTTTCCAGACAAATCAGTAATCCTCAGATACCGACTGTGACAGTTTTAGCTTCTCATATTGTGGTCTTTACTAATATAAACTGGCACAGTGCTTTATGATTTGTGCATGGTGTTGGAAGCGGCGAGGCGTTTGGTGCATGGCGCGTGTTTTGAAGCTGCTCTGCTTGTGGAGAAATGTCCTGGGCCGTGAGTAGTGAGGAAACAGGAAGCGATTCTTGTGGGATGGAAGAGGGAAATAGTGACAATGAAGGTTGGAAGATAGCAGCATCAAAAAATGAGAAAAAGCGGAAAAAACAGAGATCAGTTAAAGGGGAATCTAGTTCAGAACAATCCAGTGATGATCAATCCATACATTCCACAGCACAACAAAATGAATTCAAAGTCATATTCAAAGTCGTTAATCAGGCAGACTCTTTTACAAACTGGAATCCGGTTCACTTAACAAAAACCATCAATAAACTTGTTGGAGAAGTCAGAGGTGCCAGAATTCTGTACAGTGGAGACCTGCTAATTAACTGCAGAGACAGCGCCCAGCAAGGCAAAGCAATACGTATTAACAAAATTGACGGGATAAGAGTTCAGTGCAGCCTAATGGAGAACAAAAAGATCAGCAGGGGAGTCATTGGAGGAGTTCCTCTGAAAATTTCTGAAAAAGAGATTCTGGAAAACATAAGCGGTGCAAAAGTAAAAGAAGTAAAACGGTTAAAAACAACAAGAAACGGAGAAAGATCTGACAGTTTATCTGTACTAATTAAATTCGAGGAAGAGCAATTACCAAGCAAAGTATTCATCGGTTACATCAGTTACAATGTCAAAATCTACAATCCACCACCATTGAGATGTTTCAAATGTCAAAAATTCGGACACATTGCAGCAGTTTGTAAAGGGAAACAGAGGTGTGGAAGGTGTGCAGGAGAACATGAATATGGTAAATGTGGAAAAGAAGCTAAAATAAAATGCTGTAATTGTGGTGGAGAACATACTGCTGCTTATCGCGGCTGTGAAGCAAGCAAAAGGTCTGAAGAAATAAAAAAAATGAAATTTGAGCTTGGAATAACTTATGCTGAAGCTGCAAAAAGGATCCCATCTCAGTCAGAAAAACCCAAACCTACAGTTCAACACACGGCAAATTTCAAACCTCTAGAGAAATCTCCAAAAATTGATGAAGACTCACTAATTGTTAAAAAGACAAATTTTGTTCTTTTCATGGTGGAAGTGATTAATTGTACTGCTCAGACGACAAAAAAAACAGAAAAAATCAAAATAATAGTGAAGGCTGCAGAAAAATATCTGGATGTTAAAGATATGAACTGGGAGATGGTTGGAAGCATGATGGAAAGACCAATGGGACCATCAGAAACTGGCAGAGGTACGATGACCTAGAGTAAATTAAAATTATACGGGCAAATGTAATTTAGTATAATTTAGTATTATGTGGGTTTAAGTTACACAGGTTATTTTATTGTATTTTTTTTTTTTTTTTTTTTTTTTTTTTTTTTTGGGGGGGGTGAATCGTTTCCTGTTTCCTTGCTTTACTCCATATCAGTTGGTGGCGGTAATGCACATTTCACAAGTTTGCCAACCGCCATAAAATCTCATAAGAAGAAGAAGAAGATGATTTGTGCCTTTTTTAGTTTACACGGTAACATCACCAGGCTGTCAGAACAGGCTGACTAAACTAACTAACCGGTTACAGCTGACAGTTAACCGAGCTTAGCTTGCTAGCCCAGCTGTCTTTACAGTCTTTGTTCAAGCAAGTCAGCTAGCAGCAGGCGCTGTTTGATCTGTCAGCCAGGAAACACTGGAGTTAACTGTTCTGTTATATTTTTCCTTTTGACGAGAATCAAGAAAACCAAGATAGGCGGCTTGGGAACCAAGATGTCAAATCGAGTGGTGTGCAGGGAAGCAAGTCACGCCGGGAGTTGGTACTCAGCTTCGGGTAACTGTCAGCACAGCACAGCGCTTACATTGTTAACATTTATTTTCTGCCATTGAAGTTTATTACTCTCCATGATGGTAAAGCTACAGAAATGTAATTATTTATACACGCTTCTCTCTGTGGTGAGGGTAGCCGACGCGTACCTCTAAGATAAAGATATATATTTATAAAAGTCGGTAAGCTAACATTTAGCTGATATTAGCCTGCTTTTTTCCTGTCACCCCATGGAGTACACGGTTAGTGTAAACTTATTCAACACCGTATCTTTTCATATTGTCTGTAAACAGACGGGCATCTGCGGGGAGGAAGATTACATTCAGGTTTTTGAAGTCAACCGTAGCTAACGAGGCTAACATAGCTGAACTTCCTGGCCTACATGCTAACTGACTCTTCTTTATAATGCTACCAAACCATCTGCACTAAAAGCAACGGTTGTCATTGCTGCACTTTGTTGTTCTCCGACCTGCTTAGGTAATGTGTTGAAATGTTTTCCTGGCGTCAAACAAAGGACTGGGCAGGGCTTGGCTGAAACCACAAGTTTCATGTTGCACCCCTTCCCCCATTTTACATACCGTGAGCTGTTTCTTATGGGGAAAAAAAGAAAATAAAAAATTACATATCATTGTTTTTTTTTTCTCTCATAAGGAGGTGAACCAAGCAGAAATAACAGATTCATCCCAAAAAAAGAGTGTGGAACACAAATGCAGTTTTAAGTCACTTTCTAACCCAGAATATAAACAATCTTTATTAGAGTTTCACATGACAGATCCTTGAATACGGATCTTTAAGTTACAGCTTTCTTATCCCTGAAACAATTAAGTTAGACATTTTATTTCTTCAATGAAAGTTGGTAGTATTTAATGTTAAGGAACAATTAATTATTTTCAAAAAAAAAAAAAAAAGTTAAAATTCTTAGGGGAGTGTTGGCCTAGTGGTTAGAGCAATGCGCTTTTGCTCTGAGGAGGTTACAATCCCTGCAGCCTGCACTCAGGGCTCCTGAGCAAGACCCTTAGATTAGATTAGATGAGTTTTATTGATCTTGCAGCGGAGAAATTCACTGGTCACATATTGGCATAGTAATTAAAAAAGGTACAAACAAGGAGGGAAAAGGTGCATTAAGAATAAACAATATATATACAGTATATCAAGGTATTTACAGTATATCAAGATAAATAACCCCACATTGCTCCCCCGGCTGCACAATGGAACTTCACTGCTCCCCAAGGGGATGTTTTACATTCAAAGATACATTTCTCCAATGTGAGATCAATAGTAAAGATACATTATTATATTATTAAAACTGAGTAGGAAACATTTTTAAAAGGGTTGCATATCAAAACAAAAATGATTTATTCTCTAGAAACTTTGTGTAGGATAGAAATTATGTCTATTTTCTGGTTTTAAAAACTAAAATTCTACTTGTTTGTACTTTTCATTTTACAGTTAAAGCAATCGGAAAAAAAATCTATTTTTATTGTAACCTGAACCTAAAGCTGAGCAATGCAGTACATATTTAAACCATTAAAGCAACAACAGAGTATTATGCCTTAAAAAAGACAACAAAAAAGAAAACACTGCTTCCATTGTATTACAAAAACTATCATGGAAAAATTCTAAAATTAGAATTTCAGATTTTTCTCAATGCATCTGCATGCATGGTCATGCTAATGTAGCATGTTCACAAATATGTTTTGGTCTATCTGGGCTGTAATAACATGAACCCACTTGAATTGATTTCAGAAGTTATAATTCTAGAATTTTTTGCATGAAAAAAAAAATGCAAATTTTTTGCAGGACAGAAAAAAAACAAGTGGTTTCTCAACATATGTAGTCTTCTACTCAATATGATGAATGGAAACAAGGAGAAAAACTATAGGTAGTGTTTTGGTTTATAGTTGAAAATTTATATGCATTATAATCCCAATAGATAAGTCTTATTGATCATATTTATTATCCTTTAAATTGTTCACATTTGCAGGATCCCAGCTGAATGCACAACTAGAAGGCTGGCTGTCCCAAGCACAGTCCACAATCAGACCTGCTAGAGCCATCATTGCACCGTAAGAGCACTCTAACAAACAGGAAATCCTTCCTAGAACATGTGAAACGGTAATAATGATATACCAATCTGTTTTTGCTTGCAGCCATGCTGGATACACCTATTGTGGTGCTTGTGCAGCACATGCTTACAAGCAGGTGGATCCCTCTGTTACGTAAGTCCTGAAGCTTTCTTGCTCTGTTTCTAATTATAGAGAAAAGTTTTTCAGGAAAGTATCTTATCTTTATTTCAGTCCTTCGACTGAATGAACAGGTTCAGTGTAGATAGCAGAAAATAATGCTGATTAAATAAGATGAAGTCCTGTTCCCTTTCAGTCGTAGGGTGTTCATTCTGGGACCTTCACACCATGTACCCCTCTCTCGCTGTGCCCTGTCACCTGCAGAAGTCTATAGAACTCCTCTCTATGACCTGAGAATCGACCAGAAAGGTACTTAGTTTCCACCCTTGATGTCCTTTGTACATGTTTCTTTCGCTAAATTAGTAATGAGGATTTGGAAGGTGGTGAACTAAAAAAATAAAATGAAGTTATTTTGTTTTAAAACAAGCATATTTCTCCTTGTTTTGAACAGGTAAAACAGTTTGACAACGTGATGGTTTATGATTAAAAAGAAAAAAACAACTACATTTTCTAATTTTTAAGGGCAAAAATACTCTATTTAATTGGCAGATCGTCTTATTTACCTGTTGAAATTAAGGCAGAAAAATTGTTAAAGTTTAAAGGCTTCCATGGGATTTTGGGCAGGTTGGATGCTGCTTTTGAACCTGCAACTTAATTGCATACTGTTATAATGGGTATAACGGTATGCAATTAAGCTGCAACTTCAAGTTTAAGCTGCAGCTAAAACTGACAGGAATAGAAGACCTAAATGTCTTCCACTCCTGTCAGTTTTAGTTGTAAATAATGTAAAGTCAGTTGTTAAATAAAATCCTTCTCCCTCACTGCTATTATTACTTTGTCAGTCAGTTACATAAAACCCCAATAAGGTAAATAAATTATTTTTTTGTTTATAATATGGCAAATGGTCAAAGAGTAAATAATTTTGCCTGGTGTTAATTAATATTAGCTGATATTATGTGGGATCAGAAAAATGTAAAAAACATTTAATGTAAGTTAGGAATCCACTAGTGATTTGTTAAAGGTTTATTGTGAAAGTTTACATTTTTGTTGTATTCGTTTATAGAAAATTGTAAATAGAGCTTAAACTTGACTGAAGAAAGTTTCCTCTCTGTTTCACAGTTTATGCAGACCTCTGGAAGACTGGCCTGTTTGAGAGGATGACCCTGCAGACAGATGAAGATGAGCACAGTATTGAAATGCACTTGCCTTACACTGCTAAAGCCATGGAGAGGTAATATTGATTGATTGGCTTTATAGATCTCAAAGTGGGATATAATATCCATGGGAATGGTGTACATTTTCAGGTTTTACCAAAGAAAACAGATTATTTTGGGATCTTTTTTATTTTTTAAAGAAAATCCTACATAGCTCAAGGAATGTTGACAGAGCCCTGGAACATTCTTTACTGGCACTTTAATTTATGAAATTAATTTATTTATATTTGCAGATAGAATGTCTTCTATGATTTGGGAGCTGCAATGGCAATACTCCAATCTCTGCTCAGTTTCTGCTCTGTCTTTTGCATCTTCAGCAAATTCTGTTCAGCTGATCAAAGTTTTAAGAGAAGGGAAGTGAAGGTGTAGGAAGGGGTCCGTAAAAAAAAAAAACCCACTGAAATAGTTTTTATCTAACATGAAACCCATTCAGTGAATTTAAAATGGGAATGTGCCCTCTCCCTCGTGTTCCAGTTAAAATCAACACTGCAGTATATCTTAAGCTGCTGCAGGCTTTAAAACAACCTTTAGGTCTACCCAAGATGTACCAAAAGTGTCTCAGAATAAAACCTTAAGATTTACTTTTGTTGATATTTTAAAAGTGAAAAGTCCTCCAAGCTTTTAAATTTCTTGTCAGATATTCAATTTAAGCTTGTAGAAGGGGGGTATGGTGCTGTGTATTGTTGCCACCCACTTAGTCCTGAGCTGAATTATATTTAGCTTTCGGTGAAAGGCAGTTGGTAACATTCGCTCTTATTTTAAAAGTAAAGCTTGCAGGTTTTTACCAAAAGGACTCTAAATCCCCCCCTATAGATACAAAGACACACACATTTGTATTTCTATCCATATTAAAACTTTACATTGACTTATATTCATTTTAGCTACTGAATTTATGCATAACCCTGACATTTACCTGAATGATTATCAGTATACTTCTAACCTTAACCTAAAGTTAATTGACACCCGGCCTCTAAACGGACTCTAAAAGGTTAAAAATGGGGTCTGCCACATTAGGACCAATCTTGGCTTCCCATAAGGCCTGTTGGTCCTCCCCCCCGAGGGTTAGTAAATATACCAAAATGGTTCTAAATAGGAAATATAAACAAGTTCACACAAGCATCCTAAAGATGTGTTCATTTTGCGAGTGATTTGTGGTTGTAATTGTTGCCTCACAACATGACCCACTTAAAACCTTAAAATATGACTTTAGTTGAAGGTTTTATGTATTCCTCTGGCACACTGGGCTGTTAACAGATGTTGATGTTTTGCACCAGTAATTAACAGAAAATATGAGCCTTAGATCAGTTTGTAGTGATCTTGGCAGTCTGTTTCTTCATAACTACATATTAAAGTTGCTTGTAAATAAATTTAAGCATCTTGGACCTTTTTCTAGACTAAAGTTCTGCCCAATTAATGTGTTTTTAAACCCCCATTTCTTTTGTGAAAACAAATCCATATATTGAGACACTGTTCTCTTAAGCACTTTTCACTCTCTGTATTTATTTGTCTGGAATCAGAGACTTTCTTGTTTTAAGGTATGCTTCTTACCTTAATGTAAAATAACTCCCTAACATTTTAGGGCAGTAATTATATTTTAAATACTAAGTATTTTAATATTTGTGATTATCCAAATTGGCAACACAGCCAAACACTGATTACACAATGATTCCCAAAGAACACAGTGTTATTTGTTGGTTTATGATGATGAAACCATACATGACTGATTAAAACAGGGTTAGTTTTGTATTTAGAATCTCAGGGATGGTTATGTGTTCTTTAAATGGTGTTACAGACCAAAGTGTCGTATTTAAAGGCAGTAGAGAAGACTTTGAAAGTAGATTTTTCTTCATGTAGGTCGGAAAAAGAATCGGTGAGGTACATTTTTTGCTAATGCTGCAGAAACAAACCTAGACCACCACATCTGACTTTTGAACCCTCTTCCCATGCTTTTCTCATAGAGGGGGGGGGGGTCATAAATGCATCCAGGTAGTGATTATTGAACTGCAGTGACATGTTTGGGTAAAACCCCACCCTGAAGCTCATCCATTGTCAAACCAGCTCCTCAGACAAAAAGGCATACAGTGGAGACACCGTGTCAGTTGAAGACTCAATTTGTCCCTTTTGATTTATTTTTTCTATTAAAATCCAGGTGTTTCTATTTTATGAATAAATAATAGTTAAATAAAGTTTAGTTAATTGAGGGCTTCAGTTTGATATTTTACTGGAAATACTTTATTTGCAAAAGTGGGTATGATTATTAGCACAACTTTCTTCCTCAGGCAGAAGCCTCTTTGCACCTTTAAAGCTGTAGAACAACAAATTGGTGAAATGTTGGTTCCAGGAAAAAAAACAAAAAAACCCCAGCAGACATCTCAATGATCATTTTGGTAGTCATAAATGCCATCCATTGGGTATTTAAAACATCCGACAAATTATTTTGAAATGTTCATAAAACTTCTGCAATATAACATTTAATAAATAATGAGGGATTGCCTTTGAGTCAATGAGTCGATGAAATCCACTGGTTTTACCTTAGATAGAAAAGTGAATCAATATGACTGTATGATCTGGTTGAAAGTGCCTTGAGATGACATTTGACATGTGTTGTGAATTGGCGCTATATAGATAAATGGATTGAATTGAATAAATATGTTATAAAACATGGAACATGAGTCAGTGATAAACGCTGTAATCAGACCGTAAGGCTTATGGAAATATCAGGAATGTCACATCAGTTGTTAAATAAAATTATACTGTAATATACACTCACCGGCCACTTTATTAGGTACCCCATGCTAGTAATGGGTTGGACCCCCTTTTGCCTTCAGAACTGCCTCAATTCTTGGTGGCATAGATTCAACAAGGTGCTGGAAGCATTCCTCAGGGAGTTTGGTCCATATTGACATGATGGCATCACACAGTTGCCACAGATTTGTCGGCTGCACATCCATGATGCGAATCTCCCGTTCCACCACATCCCAAAGATGCTCTATTGGATTGAGATCTGGTGACTGTGGAGGCCATTTGACTACAGTGAACTCATTGTCATGTTCAAGAAACCAGTCTGAGATGATTCCAGCTTTATGACATGGCGCGTTATCCTGCTGAAAGTAGCCATCAGAAGTTGGGTACATTGTGGTCATAAAGGGATGGACATGGTCAGCAACAATACTCAGGTAGGCTGTGGCGTTGCAACAATGCTCAATTGGTACCAAGGGGCCCAAAGAGTGCCAAGAAAATATTCCCCACACCATGACACCACCACCACCAGCCTGAACCGTTGATACAAGGCAGGATGGATCCATGCTTTCATGTTGTAGACGCCAAATTCTGATCCTACCATCCGAATGTCGCAGCAGAAATCGAGACTCATCAGACCAGGCAACGTTTTTCCAATCTTCTATTGTCCAATTTCGATGAGCTTGTGCAAATTGTAGCCTCAGTTTCCTGTTCTTAGCTGAAAGGAGTGGCACCCGGTGTGGTCTTCTGCTGCTGTAGCCCATCTGCCTCAAAGTTCGATGTACTGTGCGTTCAGAGATGCTCTTCTGCCCACCTTGGTTGTAACGGGTGGTTATTTGAGTCACTGTTGCACTTCTATCAGCTCGAACCAGTCTGGCCATTCTCCTCTGACCTCTGGCATCAACAAGGCATTTCCGCCCACAGAACTGCCGCTCACTGGATGTTTTTTCTTTTTCGGACCATTCTCTGTAAACCCTAGAGATGGTTGTGCGTGAAAACCCCAGTAGATCAGCAGTTTCTGAAATACTCAGACCAGCCCTTCTGGCACCAACAATCATGCCACGTTCAAAGTCACTCAAATCACCTTTCTTCCCCATACTGATGCTCTGTTTGAACTGCAGGAGATTGTCTTGACCATGTCTTTATGCCTAAATGCACTGAGTTGCCGCCATGTGATTGGCTGCTTAGAAATTAAGTGTTAACGAGCAGTTGGACAGGTGTACCTAATAAAGTGGCCGGTGAGTGTATACTGATCATTTATTTTCAACTCCTAGGTTTTACCAGTCTTTCTGTTTTGGGGTTTTTCAGCCGATATATTTTTTATGTAATGCACTGTTTCAAAGGCCAAAATGCATGTATTTTTTTGAAACGAAGGCTGTTCTTTCATTCTGATGTTGCAGCCACAAAGAAGAGTTCAGCATTGTTCCTGTGCTTGTTGGCGCTCTGAGCGAGTCTAAGGAGCAGGAATATGGAAGGCTGCTCAGCAAATATCTGGCAGACCCTTCCAACCTTTTCATCATCTCCTCTGACTTCTGCCACTGGGGTAGGGAACAAAAAAAGGGAAGAAATGCTGTCAATTTATTGAGTTTGATCATAAATGATGAGAGAAAAGCTTTTGTCTTTGTTTCTGTTTAAGGTCAACGGTTTCGCTACACCTACTATGATGAATCTCAAGGAGAGATCTACAGATCTATTGAGCATCTTGATAAGATGGTAACTAAATTAAAAAGTCTTTATTAAATATCACTGTTTAGTGAGACAGTCGAACCGAACGGTTTTCATAAACCGTTCCATCCCTACTGTTTATGCTCCATTGTTTTTGTAATATGCTCTAACAGGTTAGGCTAGTTTTATCTAATTTACCCAATGAAAATTATTGGTAGTAATATTTATAAATTTTATGTATTTTAGACTTATCATATTCTGTTTATTTAAAATAGAGATTGCACTGTTTTCATTTTTTTTCTTATTGAACACGGAAATGTAATGAGTCACATTGGAAGCAAACAAAACCTTTTTCCATCAATCATACTATAACTAAATAAAATTTAGAAGAAATATTACATTTTGCTTTCATTTAAACAAATGATCAGAATGATCATGTCTACATGTAAAACTTTTTTATGTCACGTCTGTTATAAATGTGAATTCTACATTGAGAAGGAGCACAGCTGCATGAATGTTTGCCTCCTTTAGGTGCGGGTTCTTTTAGCCTTTGTTAGATCCTAACCATAGATGGATTGATAAAAAGCAGAGCCTTTTTTCATTATTATATTTTTTATCTTGCTGCCTCTTCTTTCTTTTGCAGGGAATGAGCATTATAGAGCAGCTGGATCCAATTTCTTTCACCAACTACTTGAAGAAGTACCGTAACACCATCTGTGGGCGCCACCCTATTGGAGTGCTGCTAAATGTAAGAACTGCAAAGCAAACATTATTTATCTTTTTTACTTAGTAAATCTCCCTTCTAATGAATTTACTTGATGATGCAGATCATCTGTAAGGCTTTGATGAAATATTTATACCCATTTAACTTCATGTTTAGTCACTTACATTAACTTTATTGGTACCAACTGTGGCGGAGGTAATCAGCCAGTTTTACTTTCTAAAAAAATCTTACATTATTAGTGAGTTGATTTCATGATTTCTGCTTTGTTTTAGAAGGTGCTCTTGCCAGATTAAAATACAGCTAAAACCACTGCAGAAAGCTGGATGAGAGAAAGTAAAACGGATATAATGGCTGCATAAAATCATTGCAAACTCAATTATTGCATTATCCATGTTTGCAAAATGCGTTTGCAAAGAACTTCCTCTACTGCGATCAGCGTTAATTAGCATTCACTGAGGCTCTTTGAGACTGTTTTATGGTTGGTGACATTTGTTTTTAATGCAGCATGAAATTATGTTATTAAGTAAACTCATTATGAACGACTTTCATCTGAGATGAGTTTTTCAGTTACTTATGTCAAAGCAGGTTTTTATCTCTATCCTTCACCGTTTTGCACCACTTGGTGTAAATCTTATCTAATCTTACCTTATCTGCCATCACTTGGAAAATGATTGCGTGTTTCTGTTTTGCAGGCCGTGGCCGAGCTTAGGAAGTCTGGTTTAGACATGAACTTTTCTTTCCTCAACTACGCCCAATCGAGTCAGTGCAGGAACTGGCAGGACAGCTCCGTGAGTTATGCTGCCGGGGCGCTCATCGTTCATTGAGGTCAACTTCTGCAGGGGCCACCGCACCGCCGCCACCCTGCCCTTACTATCTTAATGCCATAATCTTGACCCATGAACCCCAGATCCTAACCCCCCCACCCCCACCCCAGTAATGCCCACTATTTGCAGGAAAACTTAGATAATGGAAGCCAATAAAGTAATTTCCCTTAAGTCCCTCAGCTCTTCGTCCCTTTTCTCCACCCGCCTCTCAGTTTGAAGTGTCTTCCGAGCTTTTGGTTGCAGAGAAGTTATCAGAGATAAGAGGCGATGAGGAGCATATCTTTTCTTTATGCATTGTTCCCCTAGATCCTTTTGTTTTCCCTACACTAAAGAGGATTAGCGATGTGAAAAGATGATTTATTTGGATTTGATGTGTTCTCTTGTAACTTTCCCTAGAGTCAAACCAGTTAAAATAAAAACTGCAAATACTACTGGAGATTATTCAGATGCCAGAAGAGGGTGGAGTCTATATTCTGACTCCATCACAATGTATGCTAAGGAAACTTCATAGGTAACTGGTACCACTGTCTAGCATATATAGTTGCTTAAAAAGGGCTGCACCCAACACATTTAATGTACACCCTACTGTATAAACCAAAAACAACGTTATCATAATAATGGTTTATTAAATATATTTTATTCCTATTTTAACCTTTTTTTTTTTTTTACTTTTTAGAGGTTCTGATAGATGTGATAGTATGAACTGGATTAGTATGTAGATTAGAGTAGCAGCTTCGTCACTTTGGCTCTGAGGCTGTCAACATTGTGTGGCCCACAGGTTGGTGTGCTCACCACTGATCCTTCACTCCAGTCATATGTTTATTGCAGTAAAGTTTGCAATATGAGAGCCTTGCTAGAGTTAAAGGTGCCACAGATATGTAATCAAATCTCAACCCCAACCCAGCAACCTCGTTTTTTTATTTTATTTACTTTTTTACACCTCCACATTGAATCTCTGCCGTAACTGGATTTTCAGATGAGTACATTTCAAATGTTTTTTTTTTTTTCTTGACTTGTAAAATGTTTTGTTACATGTTCAGCAGAGCTCTCAGCATAGTACAAACAAACTGGCCAAGCTGGGATGACGAATAACTTCAAGGATTACATGTTTTTGATGGAGGTTTTTATTTACAGCTCTTTGTTTCAATTTTTTTAATTTACATAAAAATAAATACGCACAATCCTTTCTTTTCAGTTACCTACATGTTTAGTTTTTTCAAAGTGCATGTCATAATTACCTAAAAACGATCTAAATTGCAAAAAAAGTGGATTTTTAAAGTTTAGGTCTGCTCAAAAATGCAGTCGGATAAATCCGGGACACAGTTGGTTACCGGTTATGTTTTGGATTTATGGTAACATAATAGAAACACAGGAGCCAAGAGGGGATATTTCTTTTACAGTGTTTTGCAAAAGTATTAATACTTCCTACTTTTTAATGTATATCTTATTGAATTTTACATATTAGAGCAACAGATGAAACATAACAACTGGAAATCAATGAAAAAATATATTTTTAGCCACCTTATACTGCAGGTGTTTCAGGGCACGCCTCTACCAGCTCTACATGATTTGATAAAATATATACCGTATAAAAAAAATATTGAAGTGTTTTATTTTCTGTTTGAAAACTAGAAATGTCCTAAAAGTGTTTGCAGATTCACAAACACAGGGGCTGCAGATGCAGGATTGCTCTGGGGTGTGGAAAATGTTGGTTAACTATAATCGGTAGCATTATTGCCATGTCTAATAATAACATTACTTGCTGCTTTTCAAGTCTTAACAGACTTTTCCAATCCGTTGAAGTCTGGACTGTGACTGGGCCGTTATGATGTGTCCCTTTCCTTAGGGTTGTTCTCCACAATCTGTGATTTGCAGCTGCATATCTTTTCTGCCATCTTTCCGCCCCTGCAAGTGAACAGCAAGCCCAAAGCATGATGCCACCACCACCACCCAGTTTCATTGTGCATGTGGCATATTCATTGATTTCTGCGATATTTGACCCTGTTTACCAGGTTTGCTGTAAACCTACGTTTTTGTGGCGCCTGCAGACAGGGCTTCCTATGGCTCATCTGTTGCTCTACCCTCTATATGAAATCCAGATAAGATGCACTGAATTTTGTTGGTTTTATTTTATTTTTAAGTTTAAGGGGTGTGAATACTTTTGCAAGAAACTAACTCTTTAAAACTTAAAAAATTAATCACAGTTCAGGATTTAGTGGTTTTGCTATTTTTTTGGTAAATTTCAGTTTTATTCAGCTTTATTTCTTAAGGCAAGTAGCTCCACGTCATTCCTGGCAGCATTAGAAATTTCAAATTAAACATTAATGCAAACTAAACTTGGTTGAACCTAGTGGTGCACAGACTGGAGGTTAAATCCCAGACTCACTCAACCTCTAAATGCTGATTTACAGGAAACTAGCAAAGCATGACTCACTGTGCTATTGTGCCTTTTATCACTGTTGCACATTTATATAAATATATATAAAAAGTAGATGTATAAAACATTCTCACTTTCAGTCTTATTATCCTTTATTTGTTCTTTTTTTTATGTGCTCTTTGCGGACAACCCAATCTGATCCTGAGCTTGCCCAACACAAAAGCAGTATTATTACTCTGCACATCCCTTCTGGGCTAAAATGGCACCCACTGTTGCCTCCCTTCTCCAAAGGGAGTTATGTTCTGTCTGTCATTTCCTCCTTGTAGCCAGAGACAAAAGCTTAACCTTGACACTGTTAATTTTTATGTTTATGGTTATTGTCTTTTTAGCTATTTTTTATGCATTTGTTTTCCTTAATTTAGGAATTGAAGGTTTTCACATCGTTAACCTTAAAAAAAGGATAAATACTGCTTAACTGCTCCTGTGATGGAGTTTTTTATGATCTCAGGTTCCACTGACAAAGCATCCCAAAAGGCTCTTCAAAAAAGGCAGAGGATTCATGTTACAAAAGAAGTAAAATGTACTGAAAATACCCCTCTGCTCAAGTGTCTTGTTTTTTTGCCAACACAGTTTTTTTTTGCATGTATTTTATTTGTTTAGCTATGAAAAAACTCTCTAAAAAAGTTTGCATAGTTGGAGGATTGTTTAAAGATACATTTTATCTATAATTAGGTTGGAGGTTTAAAGCTTAATTATGTTTAAAGAAGGGGATTACAGCTTAGAGATGATGAAACCAAAATCTCTGCTTCTCAGAAGACTAGAATATAACAAATTAAAATGGTTATTTACTTAAAAAGAGGTATACTTACTATATATGTGGTAAATAAATAGTCGAGGTTTCTTACTTGTTGAATTCTGAATTAATGTAGTGTTGCAGTATTATTATGGAAGCAGAGAGATTGATCTCTAACCAATCTGCATTGTTGGCTCTGGTGTTTCCCATCCTTGCCGTTGAGAATCTTTGAGGTTTATTTTGGCAAACTTTGCTGGCTACTTAAGCACAGCGATACCACAGTCATTAAAGCATTATTTGTACTTTTGGTGTAACACAAGAAATATAGCAGCTGTAGTTCATGACTTGATTAGCCCCAGTGTGGGCGGTATGGGGGAAAGCACCCACTTCAGCAGCAGTCCACTCCTTATGGAGCTTAGGAAGGGCTTTTTTTGTTTTAGCTTTACATTTTTTTCTTTCCTTGAAGCAGCAGCTCTAGCAATGACAATCTGAGGTCATGGTCCATGGGGAGTATCGGTGACTAAGCTGAGCAGCTATCCAGTCAGCAGTGCTTCCCATGATTGCTTCCCATGGACCTTGAAATGACTAGCAAAAATCTTTTGCTTTCATTAGGTTTTTCTTAGCTGGATGTAGCAATTTTCATATGAATTAACAAACTTGAAACAAAATCAGGCTTTTGGAGTAAATAATCATTTAACTTTCTTTGATTTTAAATAAGAAAAAACTTGACCAAATTAAGTAAACAGCCTCGGAGGCACAACCGGGAGCAAAAACACAGTTAAAGGAGTGCAACTGGATCTCCAGTTTGATCTCCTCAATTTTTTTTTATACATGCTTCTCACTGCAGAACATATGTGATTACTGTCTCTGTTAACCGCAATAAAAAATGCAGGCTGTCCTTTTAGATACACCATTCTCCTGAGCCTGCGGTAATGGAGGGTTCAGTGTGCTTCTCAGCCTTTGTCTTATTTCCACTCTTTAAATCTTTTAACGGAATCCAATTTCTATTTTATTTATATACATGTGTATATATATATATATATATATATATATATATATATATATATATATATATATATATATATATATATATATATATAGTGTTTGGTCAAAGATTATGCTTTCAACCTAGTTGTTTAACATGACCTTAAAAACCTAAACCACTATTGGAAAAATGATGTATAAACAAAACCAATCCGTTAAAACAAGTAGATTTTGCCCAGGTTGGTCTGAGCTTATGAACTGGTTCTACATGTGAAGTAGGCAGTTTAAACCTGTGGCAGACTCCTACCAGAAGTCATGTGTCATGAATTACTTCATGTTTCTGCTCTGAATTCTCTGCTGAACCTAGATATGTGCTGTGGGGAGGACAGAATAATCATAACCTCCCCTCAGGCAACATTTGTACATATGCTGAGAAAAAGGGAGCACTTTCATGTTTCAGCAGGCTGGCTGACAGACCACCGTCTGTCCTCTGGGAGGAGTCACAGAGAGGCTGTTTACATCCATTCAGCTTTAAACATATTCTGGATTAGATCAAAACTGGGGAGAATTACTGCAGCACTGAGGACAAGACATGCAAGATGCAGTGCTACGAGAACGTGGTGAACTATCTGAGCTGTGGGATGCTCCTGGCAGGACTTCTTCACCTGATCAATCACAGGAAAGCACAGGCTGCCTACGGACGCCACATGAAACTATCCTCTCCTGCTAGAATGGTACCTGCCAGACTTGCCTGGTTCCTGCAGGAGATGCCAGCTCTTTTGATGCCCCTGCTGTTGATACAACTTTCACACCAGTATTCCTCCATGGGAAGGGCCTTATTGCTCAAGACCTTCTGTTTGCACTATTTTCAAAGGTAAGAGCCTGAGTAGACACTTCAGTTTGGATTTTCAGAATGCATTTAAAGCAAGAATTTGAAAATCCATCAAAATACAGTAGGGTTTTTTATATGTTGGAACTGTTACATTATTTCAGTAATCCAGTTATAACAATAGATTCATGCAGTTTTATTTATTACATCCTGCTAAGAAAGCCCAGATTGCTTTACAGTCGGCCTCAACTCATCTGCATAGTTGGCTCTGATTTCTAAATTTTAGGAAGGTTGTTAATCAATCAAGAACTTCAGCCCGGACCTCAAACAGCTTTGTTTCTGTGCCTAATCATTATTCCAACTCTAGGAGTGGCTTAACACAATGACCCAGCTGCTGTAGCTGTCTGTGTAAAGCTGTTGAATCTCTAGCTAAAGCTGCAGTCCTCATTTATTGAATCTCCTCCAAACTGTACACTGAAGGTTGTTTACAAATCCTCTAAAACTTGTCATTTATCCTGTTGCTTGTGAAGTTATTATTCTACTACTCGGCTTTCTATTGGCTTAGATATGGCATTGTGTAAACAGCCATCCTTTAGTATGCTGGGAATCTCTCAAGTCAGCAGTCTTACACATTGGGATGTTGTCCAAACTGTAAAGTTCCTGCACTGAAAACCCTCTATTGTTGTTGGCCGTAATGTGAAACTTAAATCTTCCAAGACTGGGCTTTCATCGGGGCTGCACAGTGGGGGAGTGGGTAGGACTGTTGTCTTGCAGCAAGAATATTCTGGGTTTGATTCCTGGCCTGGGGTTTTTTTCTGCATGGAGTTTGCATATTCTCCCTGTGCATGCATTGGTTCTCTCCGGGTACTCCAGTTTCCTCCCACAGCCCAAAAACATGACTGTTAGGTTGATTGGCTTCTCTAAATTGCCCTTAGGTGTGAGTGTGTGCATGGTTGTGTGTCTTTGCGTGTCTCTGTGTTGCCCAACGACAGACCGGCGACCTGTCCAGGGTGTACACCGCCTCTTGCCCATAGACTGCCAGAGATAGGCACAGATTCTGACAAGGACTAAGTGGGAGAAGATGGATGGTAACCACAAAACTGGCTTAAATTGCTCAATTTGTCTGAAGACATTTGGACACCTATCCATCAGTCTTTGTTGTGTTTTAACAAAGATTTCTTCCGTTACCTCACTGTCAAACTATCTGTCCTCTCT